GATTTGAGCTTCTAAATACTACCTGGCTAATTAAAGGGCTGAGATGGGCCTAAAGTACTCAAAGAGTAACTGGGTCAAGTAAAAAGACACAGAACGAGGTTGAAGGGGCTCTGATTCGCCACATTTGGGTCAATCTGAGGATCAAAATAATGAAAAATTAGATAACACAGAATGAAATAATACAGGAATCCACACTAACATAACATAATGAAAATAATGATCATAATCAGTGATTCATAATAAAAAAATAATGATCCTAATCAATGATTCATAATATAAAACAATGATCATAATCAATCATTCATAATCAAAATAAGGAATAAGTAGATGGCACAGAATAGAAATAAAATAGGAATCCACACTAACATAACATGAAGGAAGAACTGTATGGGGGAGAAGATGAGTTTCCTTACAGTAGACTGGTTATAGAAAAATGTAGATGGAACAATGGGTGTTAAAAAGCCACTTTTTGAAAAAAAAAAAAATTTTTAAAAAGCCACTTCTTGGCAATCATGGTTATAATAATTAATTCAGGCAAGAAACAGTTGTTGATGAAATGAATAATGAATTAAGTATGAAGAAAATGAGATTCATTGGTTATTATGGAGAAAGAACTTAATAGGGAAGCAGCAAACTTGGAGGCATCACCTTATCAAAGTGATCAGAATTAACAGACCGACATGACTTCTCTGAGGATGAAGCGAGAAGAGCATAAAAAGCCGATTTTGTGATACTCCCAACAAACTCTAAATACCCTCGTGACTCTAATACAAAGAGCAACAAGCCAAATGCAAGTCGAGGAACATTGCTGAAAACAATTTTTTACATGTAAAAAGAAGTTTTCATTAAAGGCATAGTAGGTTAAAGGAACTATTCTGGGTTGAAGGAGACAAACCAGACATGAGAAAGACGTGCACGATTCTGGATTAGATTCTCTTTCTATTAAAGATACAGCAACAGTTTGTGAAATAGGAGTAAGGTGTCTGGATGAAACAAAATACTGAGGTTTTGTAACTGTTTTTGTAACTTTTCTGTGAGTTCAAATTAGTTGAAAAGAAAAAAACAACAGTTGTTTTTTAAATTTTTTTTTTTTTAAAAAAGGTGAAAATGGGGACAAAGATGTGTGAAGGTAACGGCCAAAAATATAAAAACCTCCCTAGGATAGTAAGCAAATGCATGTAAACATGTTCCCTTCTTCTGGTGATAAAATGTGAATTAAAGCAGTCTTATGGTATTATGTTATACCTGACTAGTTTTTATTGTTGCCATTTGTGTATCTGGATATTGGCTTGCTTTCTACTATAATGAGGGGTTTACTCTTTGTTTTCCAAGTATTGTTAAATAAAATGACTCATAATCCTTCTAAAAACTCTGTAAGGAAGATTCAGTAATTTTTTCCACTTTACAGAACCAATAAGGCTTAAAGACTTAAGCAGCTTTCCTGAAGTTATATAGCTGGTAAGTGGTGGAACTGAGACATGGGCTCAGGTAGTATGATTCTCATGCTTTCAGCCTCTATGCTATTAGGCTCTGCAAATTCCTATAGGGCTGAGACACCGAACTCTAGTACGATACTTGTGGAAAGCAAGGAAGTCATAGCACTCCTGTTGACAGCAAAATCCTTAATTCTTACCCAACATTTGTCGATTTTAAAAAATTATTTATATGTTGTAAATATATTCTTTAGATAAATACAGTGTAACATATTTTGATATATTTCAGCAATATATCTAAATTTCTTAGCTTGGACTTTTCAATTTGACGAGGTTTTCACAGCTATTTAAGTTAAAAAAAAAGATCAATGAAGTTAAAGTTCAATAGAAAAATATGACCGTAAAATCATTAGCCATGTTCCCTAGTAATAGAAAGGTAACAAAAATAATCCTATTACTCAGTAATAACTAGATCTACTACCAAAAGTATTTTATTATGTTGCATTAAAGAAGTAGATGAAACCTTAGTTAAATCTGAAAATGATGATAAATACCATAAATTGGAAAAAAAGTAAAACAAAACAAAAAAAACTGGAGACTCTTTAAGGTTAAATATAATTGTGTGATATTAAGAATTAGATTTTAAGCAAATTATTTTAAGCCTAGTGTAGCCAAAGGATGCTCAAAGGAATAGATAATGATGATGAAATGAATACATAAAAGATGAAAAGTTATTCAGGCATAATGCACCTAATATAAGAAGATCGGTACTATTACAACAGAACAGAATGTTACACAGACAGTGAAATCATGAACTGAAGTCTTTAATTACTGGTAGGGACTGAACATACTACATATGGTTTTAAAATGTAGGCGGACAGAAGAAGCAGATGCTCTAACATCTTTTATCTTCTATAGCATGAGTATTAACATGCGTATCCAGAGTGAAAAGCGCTAGTTATACTTTAGGAAACAGACAAATACATTCAAGACTTTGGATGTGATTGGCTGAAAATGAGACCATGGTGCCCAGTCTCAACCTGGTATTAAGTGTGATCACAGATAACCTCCATTTTTCTCTCCTGTGAGTTATCAAAATGAAAATTGGTAAACAGCTACAGTGAAGCATCTCTATAGCTTTCTGTCTTGTGCCTATGCCAGACATTATTTCCAGTCTCGAAAACCATTTCTTCCTCAAAAGAGCTCCCCAAAGTTGTCACCCTTCCTATCAGCAGCTTCACTGGGCTATGGTGAGTGACACCCAGACATTTAAACTCAAAAGCAGCTTCAGAAGGGAGTTATTAAAATTCAAATGAGCTGGGCATATTGAAGAAGAAAACCCTCGTTTGCATGCACACCTCCGCATTTGGCCATCCCATTTAGCCCCAGAGAGCAGGGTCTGGTTTTGTTTTTGTAAATGGGCTTCGGAGGCCGAGGTCAGCCTCCCACGGCCCCCACTCCTCTGGGGTCATCATGAGTAATGTGTGAGGCTGAATAGATTTTTCTCTGAATCTAGTCAGCAAACCTGACAAGAAGGCAGCCCTCTCCCACAACCTGAAAATGTCAAAAAAATCTGACTGGTGATATGGCATTGTGAAACATTCATTTATCTGCTTTAAAAGGCCTTGCAGCGATACTACACAGAACATCACTGAATCCAGTTCCACTTGATTTTTCTCGTTTTATAGCAGAAAAGTATTTCCTGCTGTGCCATGATGACATAATTATAAAAACATTATCTTTAACAGAGACTTTCCCATCATAGTTAGAGAATATTAATTTCTGTCAAGTAAATACCAATCTGGGAGCCAAATGATCAAATTCTACTCAGTAGCAAAGAGAAAGAATCTAGCTCTTATTTGACTGTAAAAGCTTTATCTTCTTTCTCAAGGAAATATTTCATGTGTTATGAATTATTTAAAAATTTTGTTACAGAAAAATAATTCCTACCTTTGTTTTGGCCATGGGAATTTAAGATGTTTCTTTAGTAAAAACTGAACTTCTTACTATTGAAGACATCTCTATCTTGCTATCTCATTTTTTTCCACAGATTTAATCCATGATAACATAAGCAGTTAAAGAATCCCAGACAGTGCTTGATACTAACTGAAAGGTTGGCAGCTCGAACCTATCAGTTACTCTATGGGAGACATGTCTATTTTAGGTCTGCAATCATACAGGGCAGTTTTATGTCATCCTAATTAACTACATAGTAACAGCACAACAAAACAACATATGTAATGAATATATATATATATATATATATATACACACACACACACGCACACATACATATATATGTATATGTGCATGTATATAACACATAATAACAAACAATATATAGGCATTTTTAGTCCACATAAAAGCATGTGATAGCAACATATGACTCAAGGATTAAGAGCACAATTTCTAGTACTTCAGAAACAAGAGGAATTTGTTTCTTGGCTCGGAAAGTAGTTGATACTTTAGAAGACCTCATGGTTTTAACACTAGAATCACACATCCAGGGGCAATCCGACAAAGTGACCTTAACTTTCTATGTAAGACTTTATTCTATTGCGTCTTTCACTAACTCAACTTGACTTTTCCAGATTACTTCTAGTTTTTTGCTCTATTTTTGCCCAGACCAACTTGTCCAAGGGAGGAGAAAACTAGCAAAGATCCATGAAATTGGTTCCTGAACCATGAAGCATCCAGTCCTGATGCATTTTCCTTCTCAAATGGCTCTGAACAGTAAATGTGAATTATGTAGGAGCATTTATTCAATAATGTAAGTGGCATTTTGGCTACAATTAGAACTACCATGTGCTCAAATCTCTGCCTTCAAGTTGTTTGTGCTCTCACGTGGACTGCAACAGGACAGAATCCTACAGAGACAAATATCTGCAGAGGAAAAGAGCACCAGGTGAAAGCAGAAAGCAGAGGCAGCGATTCCAGCACGAGCAAGTGTTCACAAAGGTGCAGGAGAAGATGTGTGCCCAGGATAAGTCCTGGGAGACAGACAGCTCCCACGTGTGCCTTACCTTAGCCGACCAGACTCATGTGAAATTGACAAGAAAAGGAATGGATGCTTCAATTCAACTCAACTCAATGCCATGAGGTTGGAAAGGAAAAACAGCGGAGCCTCCAGGGGGCTTAGAGGCTGTCAAACACCCTGGAGGAGATGGTCCATCTTTTTCCCTGGAACTGCTCGTGAATTCTAACCACCACTGTGGGGCATTCTTTGAGTTAACAGTACAGCTCCCTACAGAATATACCATCCACTCTCCCTGGGGCATGCTTAGCCTTCTGAAATGAACAAATGGACAAGTAAAGTCTCCACAGAACAACTCAAGCTCAAGTACAGTGATTTCCAAGAAACTACAAAATAGGTCCTTTGATGCACCTTTTCCTGCCATTGGCCTCATGGTTCATCTCTGTTGCAAAAATAGTCTAGCCTGAATAGCAAAGTGGGAGACATTTATCCCTTCAGATTTGCATTGCTTAATTCTACAAAAGCATTCAGGACTCATGAATTTCCTTAACATGTAGAATGAAAGACGAAATTCAAGACATGTGCGCACTTGCCTTTTTTTCCTCCTGTAACGAAGAAGCCAATGGCTGCTCTAATAAAACTGCTTTCAGGCAAATAGCTATAGTCAGTCGGAACTGTGGAGACAGAAAATGATCACATTAACTAGTGAACTTGGCGGGAATAATGAAGGAAAGATAACGATCTCATGCTGCCATATCAACCTAGAGACAAAGCGGAGATGTTTATGCTATTAATCTCAGCACAATACTCTGTGGCTGCAGCTAATTCTATTAGATTAAGTGACTGGCCTTGAAGTACTGTAATCGCTTAAGAGTCTGAAAGCAAATTAAAAAAAAAAAAGGTGATAAACCTCAAAGAGTAGAGGCTGAAAAATCACAGAGGATAAAAATTGTATTGAAGTGGTTTGAAAATTCTTTCACGTTGTCACATCAATGAGCCCCAATACGGCGACCTTGTCGGGGTCAACAAGGAGTCTGCATGGCTTCTTTGCGGAGACCACCATTCCAGGGGCCACTTAGGGACATGCTGAATCAGATATATGAACCATGCAAATTCAACATCCAGTATTAATAGCAGTCAGTCTCTGACTTCATGATGTAGAAAGAGACCTCGGAGTGGCCAACATGTGCAAAGAACCAGATGTGGTAGATGACCCGGAACGGTGAAGCAGTGACATTTATGCTAGTTAAGTCCTGAGAGTCTTCTAAATCCTTTTCCTCCCAGTCCCCTATAATTGTTTCATGAGATGGTTTCTACTGCAATAAATGGCTCAATTGGAAAATTCCATCAGGAGTAAGAAGCTGTACTTTTCCAGACACACAGTCATTTTGCTCAGAAGAGCCCGTGTGTAAGATGACTCACTACTTACCTGATTTGAGAAAATGTGGGCCAGGCAGTATACCCCATAATGTGACACTGAAAAGCCTACCAAAAGAGCAAAAGCCTGAGCCTGTCACCACGACGCTGCTCTGTGAGGGGTCTGCCCTTCAGAACTGGCATTACCAAGGCTTTCTAATTCTGATTGTTTTGCCCATTTGAATATGACAGCTACCAGCTGTCTAAAGTTCATTGTGTTGGCAATGCTGTGGAACAATGCCCGATTCTGATAGCTCAGGAGAGACTGAGTGCGTGAGGCAGTAATTACCATGACCCTCATTCACACTAATGTTCTCAGGCTACCTGTCAGTGGAGAGGTACGACTAGATTTTAATGAGCAATCTTTGGCACCTCAATTTGCTTGGCTTGGATCCCAGATAGCCAGTGGGACAAGTTCTATAAAGGAAAAAGAACAGAAATAACTTCCAGTGTATTAACAATGATACCTTCCCACAGAATCTCCACATCAAAACGTAAGCATATGGAAATTACAGACATTTTTAATGACTTTTATAACAAAGCAAGAGACTGATAAGCCTTAGATCAAGCACCAGAATTTCAGTTTGAAGGCCAAGGAGTCATTACTCCATTATTTTGTCAAAAGTAGAGGCCATACAATCAGAAAGATGCAAATCAAAATCACAATGAGATCTGATCTCATCCCAGTAGCAGTAGCAAAGATTAACGGGACAGCAAGCAACAAATGCTAGAGAGGATGTGGAGAGACTGGAACTCCCATGCACTGCTACTGAGATTGTAAAATGGTTTGGAATCTCCTCAAAAATTAAACACAGAAATTCCACATGACTCAGCTATCTCAATGCTAGGAATATACTCAAAGAAATCAGAACTGAGTCATGAATGAAGGCATGTTCATAGCAGCATTATTCACAACAGTAAGATGGGTAATAATGGGCTTGTTGTTGTGTACTGTCAAGTCAGAACTGACCCACAATTGACCCTCCAGTGGGATTTCAAAGGCAGTTCATCGCACGGGAGGAGACTGCCCATCCTTCTCCACGGAGCAGCTGGTAGTCTCAAACCATGTGCCTTTGGGATTGCAGCGCAGCTTCTTGCCTCTAGGCAAGAGCTCCCTAGTAATAGATAGAGTAATAGTAATATAAAAAATATAATGTGTATGGAAAAACTAATGTGTATGAAGATGATATAAAACACAATGTACATGAATGAAACACATCATAAATGAAAATGTGTATAAAACACAATGTAAATGCAAAAAACATAATTTATATGAATGATTATATGCAAATAAAGTATGAAAAACAGTAGAGGCCATTAAAACTTAAGCCACATATAAAGATATTTTAAATGAAACATAAACACAATATAAATATACAGTATTTATATACATATACACACACACCCTCAGACCTGGTTTTAATTGTTTTTGGTCAAACTTTCTTTTACAACATTCTTCTAAGTGGTATAGCACTGGTCTGTGCATCGCTGTACAGTGGTAACTCGTGGTGGTTGTGATGTTAAACACTGTGACACTGATGCATCAAATGAGTTAATGGTCACCCATGGTGGACAGTGTTGGGTGGAGCTCTCCTATTAAAACAAGCTTGGAAGTAGGAGTGGCATCCACTTCTAAAAAAGCTTGCCTCCGGAAACTCGATGAACTTGGAGAAAGGATAAAAGTTACACAAGTGTTCAGGTCTTTCATTCATAGGGTCACTATGAGTCGCCTATGACTCAATAGCACTTAACAACAACCTTCTCTCTCTATTTATCTCTATAGATAGATATAAAATACCTGTGCCTCAAGCTTTAGGGAATTGGTTCCTAGCTCCTGGAATCTTTACTACACTAATTATATATTGTCTTATTGTTTTGTACCATTGACTACGTCCTGTATGGCTAGTGACCCTATGAACAATGGCTTGGAACTTTGCCCTAATCTGAGCCAACCTCACTGTCTCTGACACACTTGATCCCATTTTCATGTATATAAGTATGTAATTTTTCTGTGTCACATTTGTAAAATGTAAAGATTAGACTATATACCTAAACTTCTCCTAGAGGCAGCAGAGAGAAAGACTGAAAACAGAACAGTAGGGGCTTTGGAGATTACCAGATTTGACTTCAAGCATATATTCACCATTATTGTCATGTCCCTGGTCAAGTCACAAAACCTCTCCACATCCTATTTCTCTATAGCTACAGACAGCAGGGATGATAATACCCACCACTTAGGATCATTAATCTGCACAGGAACCCTAACAAAGTACACAGTGCTGAGTTAGCAACCCCTCCATCCAGCTTTCTATGATGACGCTTACCAGAGGTTCTACTTTGATTTGAAGACAGAGCAGATAAATGAAGATGTCCTAGGAGCCAGATTGCATTTGACTGAAGACCAATCACCCCAGAGACACTGATTACCTATAGAGAGAAGTTTAATAGTTCAATGATGGGATAAGATCCAAACTCCTTTTACTATCTTTTAAAAAAAAAAGGCTACTTTAATAATAACTCACTTGTCCCTCAGGGGCACACACACACACACACACACACAAGTCACCAATCTTTTTAGGAAGCTCTGGTGGTCAAGTGGTAAAAAAATTGTGTTGTAATCTCAAAGGCACATGGTTCAAACTCACCAGTTGCTCTGTGGATAAAGGACGGGCAATCTCCTCCCATGCAATTAAATTGCCTCTGGAAACTTGCTGGAGGGTCTGCTATGGGTTGGCACTGACTTTATGGTACACAACAACAATGCTTTTATGAGGTGGTGGCTTGGTTGATAATGGGAAGTTCGGTAACAAGCTGTATCTGGTACATTACTCCTAGGACAGACGAGGTGCTCAACAAGCACTGGTTCAACGTATGAAGTAATGAATGAAGCACTCAGTCAAATAATGAATGAAGCACTCAGTCAACTGGTCAAGTTTGGCAAAGAAGATATGGGGTTTCGCTCAGCCAGGCAGGTCTCAAAGGAATTTCTCTTTTTTTTTTTTTTTAAGTTGATCAATTTTCTAAAATAAGGTTTCAGGACAATGACAGTAAGATAAGAAAACATGGAAGAATGAAGTTACAAAGAAAAGGCAAATAAACAACTCTGCACAAGACATTGAACACATTCTGTACAATTTCTTCACTTTGCTGTCCTCATTTGTACAAACTCTTCACAGCTTACTTGCCCATCACCATCAATATCTGCTTCCCCAATCATTTCATCAACCTCTTCATCTGTTAACTTCTCTCCAAGGTGTGTCATCATGTGACGAAGTTCTGCTGCACTATTACAGCCATTGCCATCTTTGTCAAACACACGGAATGCTTCTCTAATTTCTTCTTCACTATCCGTGTATCTTCCATTTTTCTTGTGATCACTGTCACAAATTCCGGGAAGTCAACTGTGCCGTTACCATCAGCATCTTTTTCATTAATCATGTCCTGTAATTCTGCTTCTGTGGGATTCTGCCCAAGAGACCTCATTACAGTTCCCAATTCCTTTGTTGTTATAGTTCCATCACCATCCTTGTCAAATAGTGAAAAGGCTTCTTTGACTTCTGCAATCTGCTCTTTAGTCAGTTGGTCAGCCACGCTGCAAGCGCTCCTGCTCTCCGAGACGCTCAAAGGGATTTTTAAAAATAATAAATAAAACTCCAGGACATACAGAAGAAGTAGTGATTACAAAAATAGGAGATGTAATTGTTCTATAAATAATACCATTTTGTGCTTTAAATGCCAACGGTCTAATACACTCTAACAGTGTAATCTGTAGCAGACGGCACAACCTTCCTGAAGCTCACAAGTCTCTGCCAGTTCTAACCCCCCTGGGTTTCCGAGGGAGACAGATGGGTGGTCACCTCCTGCTAAGATTTACAGCTTCGGAAACCTGATGGAGGGTCACTAGCAGGAAGAGCTGGCTCAGTGGAAGCGAGGTCTTTTGTTTGGGTTTTTAAAAAATTAACATTTTAAGGACCGATGGTGGCACCACAGTTAAGACTCAGACGTTAACTGATAGGAAAGCAGTTTGGACCCACCAGCTAGTCTACAAGAGAATATTCAGCTTCTCAGTGGGCATAATCTGTGAAGATCCCAGCCTTGAAGGTTCTATACGGCAGCAGTCCAGCTCTGTCCTGCAGGCTCGCCCAGTCCGAATCTACTCCGCAGCACGGGTGGTCCTTATTACCTCTTCATCATTCAGAACAGGCACACTCCCAATAATATTTTGCATTTATAGCTTCTCCTCGCACGTTATAGCAGCTTAAGTTTCAGTGGAATTCTTTTTAAAGAGTATTCATATTCATATATGCAAAAGAGAGTTTCTCTTATTCAGAGATTCATGTTTGCTTTTGGAAGCATGAATTACTAAAACTCTTGCATGTGGCAGGTATTATAATCAGCTACATTTCACAAGAATGAAAACAAGTACGCTAAGGGAAGGACTAAGATACAAATGTCCTGTACACAGGAAGAATCATTATTACTGCAAAGAAAATAAGAATGCTTAAAAAGAAACACGACCAAATATTAACAGTGGTTTCCTAAGGGGTGGGACGACAGTGATCCCTTTTCAACTTCTTTCAATCTGTACTTTCAAATTTTATACAACTTACAAGATCATTTTCCCCAAGCAAAGAATGCTTGCCAGTAGATGACTACGTTTATTCTTTACCCAAGTGTAACTATGACAATGATTTACGCCAATCTTCTGATCAGTGATATCTGAACCAGTACTTCTTGACCACTGTGTCTAGATATGTGCTCTGCCCTTTGATCACCTTCCAGCTTTCCTTGTCCCGAGGGCTTGACATTCCTTGCAGGATCAGGTTTTCATTTTTAAGGGGAACCAATGCCAACTTAAGTTAACTCAAAAATGCCAGCTTTCTTTTTCCCTCCCCAGAGGCAGTGGACGTGTGCCAGCAACTGTAGGACCCGTCGTGACCCAAAGCACAGCAAACGCAGAAGAACTGGTTAAGTTCTCACTTTGTACACAAAACGTTACAGACTGTGAAATAAAACCAAACAACAACAACAAACTCCTTCCTCCCCTCCACCCTCCCGCCCCCCAACAAGCAACTGTTTTCCATCCAAGAATTTAAAATTCTTTTTCTCACCTGAGTTAAAGTTCGGATGACTTCATTAAGACGACTTTGAAACTGAGAAGTTTGCATGGCTTCTGACTTCAGCTGAAAGAAGAAGATAAAATTCATTCACCTATGAGTCGTGGGTGACTCGATGGCACATAACAATACCACCAAAATACAAATAAATAATGATATTCCCAGTGTATGTGCAATCATCTAAGCTGGGGAACAATTCTAATATACTCGTATTTAAAAAACATAAACAGTAAGCTCCACAAGGGCAGGGCCTATATTTTGTCAATGATATTCTAGACCAGTTCATGGCACATGGCAGTCAATTCAATGAGTTTTTGCTGGATCAGTATGGGGACTTGTGTAGATTACTAGCAATATACACATCCATGAAAACAGTTTGAAGGAAAAGAATAATTACATAAATATAAATGTAAAAAACATAGATACAAGAAGGAATTCTCTGTGAATGATTTCAGAATTTTCTTATTATTCAATCACCTCAGGCAGGAACCTTTGAGAAAAGTATGTAAGTTAACCAGCCTTAATCCCTACAAACCAAATAAAACCAGCAGCAAATCACTGTAGAAAGAATTCTTTTTATTTATTTATTTTTGCAGAAAGAATTCTTTAGCAAAATTTAACAGAGCAGCAAACATCAACTGCTGGTGAGGTTGTGGAGAAACTAGAACCCTTATTCACTGTTGGTGGAAGTGTAAAATGGTACAACCACTATGGAAGGCTGTAAGGTGCTTCCTCAAAAAGTTGCAAATAGAAACACCATTTGACCCAGCAATTCTACTACTGGGAATATACCCTAAAGAAACCATAACTGTCACCCAGGTAGATATATGCACACCAATGTTTATTGCGGCTTTGTTCACAATAGCAAAGAGTTGGAAACAACTTAAGTGCCCATCAACAAATGAATGGATAGAGAAGCTGTGGTATATTCTCACAATAGGTGATACTGAGAAAAACAGGATAAATTTTGTATATTGCATTGAAATAGATGAGGGAGAGAACTACTTAAAAGCAATATATGCTTGGGTATTATGGTCATGACAGGAGTCCAGAATGAAGGTTGTACAGTAGAGTGTACTGGGGGAGGGGAGATTGTATACCAATGAAAAAATTTTTCTTTTACTTTTCAAAGAGGAGAGTGAACTGGGGGGAGGGGTAGGCAGGGAAAAAAATGCAATAATGAATGAAGAGAAATCCAAAGTGTCTGTAAATGTTCATTAAAATTATTAATAAACAAAACAAAACAAACAAAAAAAGAATTCTTTTTGAAAAAAAATAAAAAATTCTTGACCAAGAGAAACTTCTCACACAGAAAGGCATCCAACAGTTCAGGACAGCCCTTCCTGTTCTTAGCGCATCAGGATAATGATTCTTCTGACGCTGTAGCTGGGAGTACACATTTAGATTTCTTTGCGTCAACACATAGTTCCATCTTCCCTCTGCCTCCCTCCTTTTTTGTGCCCCTTTCTTTTTACCTGTATGACATCCCCTTCAGAGCCCACTAAAGCCACCATGCCATGAAGTGCAGCGAGACAAAGCATCGTGGGAGTGCCCTGAAAACAAAGCATCCAAATAGTCAAGTGGGAAATAGTCACTGGGCTTAGATTGCATAAAACGTAACAAGACCACAGAGAAATAGACCACAGGCTAGGGATTCAAGATGATAAGAGGATCCACATAACCTGTGCCATTGAACAAAAACACAGCAGGTGAAAAAACTAACAGATTAAGGCTGTTGGATCATTGATGGTTATTTCTTGTTTTTACTTTTTGAAAAGCACGGTGCTGTTTCAAAATCAAGACAGTGGCAAAACAGCTCGTTTATGGTCATAACAGAATGCATCATTTCTTAGGGATTAAAAGCACATTTGATAATTAGCTACGTCTTTCATTTTAAATTACCTGTCACATTATTGTTGAGCAGTATGTCTTGGCAGCTCTTACAAATAGTGCAATACAGCAATTCTTTTTCTTTTATATGAACATAAAACAGTATGCAGGGGGTGAGCACTACCTCTGAGAGGACAATTTTGATCCAGGCTGGAAGCAGTTTGTTGCCCAAGTCTTCAGCTTTTCCATGACCACACACGGACAAACCATGAACGATGTTTCCAAGGGCCAGAGCAAAGCCTGAAGTCTGTCAGATGAGTAAAAGCAGGGTGAGGAGAGAAGACGGTGTAGATTAGGAAAGCTCGGATGTGGCAGCACAAGCCCTTCTAGGGTTCCTTTTCCTTCCTGACAAATTCCTTTGCCATTTTCAGGTGTGTGATTATCTACACTTTGGTTTATAACAGCAACTGCAGCGTTTAACTGATTACAAGGAGGTCAGCTGCGGCAATTGGTTCATTTTAGGATGCCATTATTTCACTACTGGACGATGTTGCTTAAACAATCCACATTCTCAGGAGTTAGGGTGAGAAGACCGAAGTAGTCAGGCCTCCTGAGAGCATTGAACTCTCAAAAAAGAAAAAGAGAAGGAACTTCCCAGAACACACACAGAGCTTGCAGATATCTACATCTTGGTGCTGAAAAACCCACCTGTAAGTGAACGGGCACATACCTGACACCGTTAAGTGCTTAAAACCAGTGAATCTTGCACTAACTCATTACAGGTATTATTAAAGAGTTTGGCAAAACATGAAAAAGAAATCTAAACGGGGAAATTCTACAGCATGTATAATCAGGGGAAACATTCTAAGGGTATTTAATTTAATTTAATTTATGGGCATTTAAATGTTCCTCTACATAATCAGTCGTAAATAGTATGCCTTGAATTTGCTGAAGTCTGAATTATCTGAGTCCCTTAAGCATTCATATCTTTCCAAACTTTTGTCATTCAAATCTCTAGCTTCATATAATTTTTTTTTTTTTTCACTCAGACTGCGTCCTCTCCCTCTTCCTCTCCCTCTCCCATGATGGGAGAGAAGAACGATCATCAATGGCAAGTGGCAGTTGCAACGAAGCAACACCAAGAGCCGGCTTCACGCTCAGGAAAGAACGCTGCGTCTCCTCCTCATGGTTTTCGGTGCTCTACACGATCAGAGAAACTTCTCTAGTAACGAACTATAGAAATGATCCCTGAAAGTATAGTCTTAGCTTCATATAATTTTTAAACTCCTTAGTTGCATGTGTTAAGATTTTATGAACACAGAGCAATGGTTAAAGAGAGTAAAATGGTTTTTAACACTGAAGAGAAAATAGATCTACAGAGGAGTTAGGGGGAAAAGAGAGAAAAAGACTGTTGGCTGTAGCTGTGAGAGGAGTTCCCTGGTCATGACACACAAGAAACATACTGCTATAAACGCCTTCAGAATAAACTGAAATGAAACGTGTCAGCAGCATGAGACCCACAAAGAGAAATACTCAGGGCCAGTGTCCCAACCTGCTGGTTGTTTTCTACCAACAGTCGAAGTTTGTTCATAGTATCTTCAGCTTCCTCAGCCTCGAGAATCCCAGCACTGAATGCGGACGTACAGACACAGCTAAGGGTATAGGCAAGGACCTGAGGGGATACAGAAGAAGGTTTCTTCATGAGGAAAAGAAAAGAAGGCAGTCTGGTTGACATCAACAGTTTGGTTATACTTCTCAGAACAGGCATTGGATTCAACCTATCACAAGGTGGGCCGTGGCTTAGACAAAATGACAAAGGTAAATGGTTTGTATGTAGAAACTGGGTCATGAAACTTCAGGAGGGTGTTAGACTAGGCACTGTTTTTTTCCCAACTTATATTATGACTCCATTTCCTAAATATGTCACGAGATGGATATTGAGATGGATACTTGCTGATAAGTCCTCTATGGCTCAAATACCCATAGCAGGAAAAACGAGGATTCAAAATTTCCTCTCAACTCCTGTGGGAAGACAAAATCTATCCACAACAGAAATGGGTTTTTATCACCACTGCCAGGTACCCCTACGCGAGGCCAAGCAGGAGAGGAAACAGGACAAAAAAGAAACAGTGCTGTACTACAGATTCTCAGTTTATGGCTCCCTGTCAGTCTATGGTACTCAGGTGGCTTGAGTGCTGCTATATGCACCTTAGGTGTCCCTGAGATGGTGAGGTTTTCAGCAGAACTTACAGACTGAGAGAGCCTAGGAATAAAGACCTGGTGATCTACAGCTAAAAACTGCTCAGAGCCAATCCTATGAATTAGAAATCTGTCCAACAGAACGCTGGAAGATGAGCCTGCTGGGCTTGAAGGCACTCCAGATACGAAAGGATTGTAACAACGGACCCAAGTGGATCAACAGTCGTGGCTGGGACACAGGAAGTGGCGATGGTTTGTTATACTGTGCCTGGCCTTGCTGGGAGCTGGAGTTGACTTGACAGCAACTAACTACAGCAGAAGCAGTGAAACAATGGAATGTGGGTCTTGGAGTCAAACCGTGCAAAATACAGATTATACTGCCTATTTCATAGTACTGCTATAAGAATTTTTCCCCCCATTTAGACCCATTTTTTTCCTGAGTTTCCTTTTCCAGATATATTAAATATTATAATTAAGTGTTGATATAAACTGTATTTAGAGACTGACTTTAAAATAGTTGTAATAGTAAATGCTAAGCCACCAAATTCAAACACTTTGCTTGTGGTATTTTTGTTATATAAAATAAAGACTATTTTACTTTTTGCACACCTTACATTTTTATGAGAATTTAAGGAATCAATATATAAATGAACAAAACATTAGATGAAATGATAAATTTTTGAAAAATGGGTGTGTGTGAAAAAGGGCTCAGTGCATCACATAAAATGACCATTTATTGATTCAGTAATTTGAGGCAAGTCACTCAAACTCTTTGAGCCTCAGGTTTTGCAAATTGGGGTTCTCATCCCTTCTCTGCTACCTGACATTTTCATGATAAAACCTTCACGTATTGAGGATGCTGTTAAGACAAAATGGGAATTTTTCACCTACAACAATGTTTTATACAGCATGACAAATGTCAGTGGCTTCAAGGTGGATGAAACTTCCGAAGGGAGGAAAAACAAGCCAGCCTGCTTTCAGTCTCAGAAATCAAAACACCAAGGCAGACAGACGCTTCAACTGGAAAAGCTTTGCTTTCAGTTATTAGGGAAATTGCTTCTCTGTCTGAAAAGTTTCCCCTTTGGCTTAAAAAAAAATATAAAAATATATATAGTTTTAAATAATTTTCTACACTACTTTAAAAATGGAAATGTGTCTATCTTGGAAGAACATTTCAACTCTGTGGTCCAAAGAAATTCAGCAATTCAACAAGTCCACCTGCTGAAAGCAGAGGACAGAGCAAGGAAACACAAGCACCATTACGCACTCCTCCATGGCTGGTGGGCAGACTGGACGGGACAGAATCTGCTCTAGTGAGAGAGAGAATCCAGCCAGGCCGGGAGGTCATCCACAGATCCCCCTAGAGAACAGCACAGGCATACGGATTTCACCTGGACAGGATGGAGAGACAGCCATGGCACTTGCCGAAAACATCCCTTCTACACATCGTCACTGCACAGATTGTTGCGTGCGTTAGAATTCTTCCTATCTTTGTACTATAGCAGAAAAACTTTCCCATTAAACGTAATAAAAGGAATTTCTTCAGGAAATTTTCAGGGTAGCTGACCTTTAAAAAGACAAATTTTAAATAAGTCTTTTTAATCTGTGGTTTCTTAAGATCATTCCTGGCCGTTTTCTAAAGTTATACTTGACTTGAACACAATTTTGAAAATCTCCACTTAACCTTCCTTCAGAAACTGCAGCTCCTCCTACAAAGTGCTTTCTGGTGATGCTGACTTAGGACCTGGGATTCACAAATGGCTCTTATCTTACACACCACATTTAAGTCTAAGTTGATTTTAACAGCTGCACAATTGGAAAACCTTCTGATCTAATACAGGTTTGTGTACCACTTAGCTTTTCTTCACATGCCGGTTGAAATTGAGGAAGAATTTCATTTTCAAGGCTTATCAAATCCGAGAAGCAGAAAATAATGAGCGCCAGGAAAACAAGTGACAGCAAAGGGGAGGGGCCCGCAGCCTGCGCCTCCTACCTCCTGAAATGTCCTGCTCTGGCTCCCGCTGTCATCGAGGTGCGTAGAGAGCTTTCGAAGTGACGCTGCCACATGCACGCGCGACTCTATTTGGCTGCTGTGGCTCATGAGAGAGAGAACAAGTCCAACTCCCAGGATACAGCCCGTGCTTGAAATCCAAAAAATGAGATGTGTTAGAAGCACAGAAATCTTAGCGATCACTCTTTATTTACCACTGGCGTTCACTGGCTGGGTTTAAAGCAGACTGAGTTGCGTTGCCTCCTAAGTTGGGCTGTGTCGCCTCATACGAGGGGGAAGGGGGGTAAAGCAAAACTATCTCTCAAAGCAGGTGCTCACTGCCTCTGCTAATGCAATGCTCCTACTGGGAAAAAACAACCAGCAACTCGAAATAGTCTGTTTGAAACTTCTTGGTTAGGAGAGGGAGCATGAACTTGAACCAAAATCAGTTCTACCCCGACCTGTGTGAAAGGGCTGTAGTCTCGCGTGTTGCGTGCACTGTGGCGAATGCATGAGGAGGGAAAAGCTACGTTTCAGGAACGAGAGCTGAGGGTATCTGACTTCTAACGTGGGATGCAAACATTCATCACCCAGTTAAAAGGTATTATTACTATGTACTCCATGCTTTCTTATCAACTTCCACAAGAGGAATTTCTTTCCTGAAGAAACTGCGTGTTTCTCTGTAGACAATGATCTTAATCCTGCTCTCCCCTCTGATCCCTCCGAGAACCACTGGGTCAGAAGAGAAAATGGACAAACGACAGGCTTGTCAAAAGCTACCCCATGTGACAATTCAATTGGAATCTTGGGCTTTGTTCTCCAGTTCTCCTAAAGGAATGCACATTCATTTAAAGGAAAGAATTGTTCTTCCAGACAACAAGCAGCTAGGATGATAAGTTCATTCAGTTTGTAGTAATTTTATGCTTTAATTTTTTTCTCTCCTTATTTAAAATGGAAAAAAATGTGGATGGGTTTCTTTTTTTTTTCTTCCTCAAATTCATCCTTTCCCTCTGGTTTGGCTTTCATCTCATGTTAGCTGTTGCTTAAGCAGACATTCCAGGGCATGACTCCAGCAGCATATTTTAAATGCTTGCATGTTATGTCATTTTGCTCTCAAATAGCATCTATCCTGTTACCTGGCATCAGGAACCGTTGTATACTTTTTATGTCTTCCCCCACCCCCCACCACTGCATACTTTTATGAATATGTTTGTTATTTCTCCCAACAACTTTGAGCAAACACGGCATAGACATCTAACAGGAGATGACCAAGAGTGGGAGAGACTTCCCAGTGGAAGGACCACCACCAACACAGGTGACTTTGGACTCTCTGCCTTCTGTTCCACTGCCAAGTCCAAGACCCCACTTGTGTCCTGCATGACGTCATGATAAGAATGCCTAAGGAAAACCCCACACATCTCAAGTGTATTCTTCTAGTTTCTATTATGTAACAATCTGGCACTTGGAAGCAGGAATGGCATCCACTTACATAAACAGTTTGCCTCCGGAAACCCTATGAACAGGGAGAAAGGATGAAAGTTATGCACGCAAGTGTCAAGGATTTCGTTCATAGGGTCACTACGAGTCGCCTACAACTCGATGGTACTTAATGACAACAACGACAATCTGGCATTTGAAAATCCTTTGCAAAGAAGCTACTGTAGTCATCCTCTATCATCAGCCAGGCAAAACTGCTGTCACAACTTTACGTGAGCGTACCAGGGAGCGCAAGCAGCGTAAGGCATTTTCACCAGTTTAATCAACATTTAACACTGAACACTGCATGCCTTTGAGACAAATTATATTTCCAAAAGGGGAACCACATTCTTGCTAGTTTTTTATACTGACATATACACAACCTTGCTAGAATTTGAGCCCAGCTGGGCAAATCTGATTTAGGCAAAATAACCAGGACCATCTTTGCCTATTTAGTGCCTACTTACAATCTCAAACATTCTTTTCTAAAGGAAGAGACACTTTGCCTGATCTACCACAGAGCATCTTTAATAGTGTCCCACAACTTCACCAAAGGAGACAAACACATGGAGAAGTGTTCAAAATCTTTAGCTCTAAGAGAGATGCAAATCAAAACTATGAGACATCATCTCACTCCAGTCAGAATAGCAAAATTTCACAGAGCAGCAAACAAAAAATGCTGGCGAGGTTGTGGAGAAACTGGAACCCTTATTCACTGTTGGTGGGAGTGTAAAATGGTGCAACCACTGTGAAAGGCAGTATGGCGCTTTCTCGAAAAGTTGCAAACAGAAATACCATTTAACCTAGCAATTCCACTTCTGGAAATATAACCTAGAGAAACCAGAACTGTCACCCAAGCAGATATATACACACCCATGTTTATTGCTGCTTTGTTCACAATAGCAAAGAGTTGGAAACAACACAAGTGCCCATTAACAAACGAATGGCTAGAGAAGCTGTGGTATATTCACACAGTGGAATTTTATGCAGCACTGAAAAACAAAGAACTCATGAAATATTATACAAAATGGGTGACCATGGAGGACTTTATGTTGAGTGAAATATTTCAGTCACAAAAAGACAAATACTGCATAATACCATTGTTATAAAACAGAACGGACATGGGGGTTGGAGGGAACTAAGAAAAGAAGGGATACATAATGTACCCAGCATTGAAACAGATGAGCGAGAGAACTGTATAAAAGGAATATATGATTAGGTATTATTCACATGGCAAGAGTCCAGAATAAGAGCTACATGGTAAAGTGGCTGGGGAAAGGACTGTATAACAATGAAAGAACTTTTTTTCCAAAGAAAAAAGCCAAGTGGGAAGAGGGGACAGGGAAGAAGAAAATGTGCAACAATGAATGAATAGAAATCCAAGTTCTTTATAAACATTCATTAAAATCTAAAAAAAAAATACTGTCCCACACCACACCACACTAAGTTTATGCTGTTGTTAAGTGCCATCGGGCAGGAACAGATTGACAGCTGACCCTCCAGTAGGTTTTTAGAGGTTGTAAACAGTATGGAGGAGACAGCCCATCTTTTTACCTTGAAATACCTGATGAATTCAAACTGTGTGCCTTTGGTTTGACAGTGAAACTCCTCACCACAAGGCCACCAGAGTGCCCTGATATAGTCTGAGTCTACACACTTCTAAGTACGAATGCTGGTAAGGACTCTTTGGAATGCTGCTTGATTCCAGTCTACCTCTCTTTCAAGCCTATGCACTCTGTTTCCCTCAGCATAGTATCCATGGTACCTAGGTACTTGACACAGATAAGCATTTAACAAGTATTTCACGATGACTCAAAAAATGGAACTATAGAATTCCACAAGGGTTTTAAGTGGAGAGAAGATCTAGTGAAAATAAAAAATAAGACTTGACTTCTATATTTATTGGAAGCAAAATTTCTAAGTGACAGAATTTACTGAATATACTGTCAAAGATTTGGTCAAGAAAAGGTCAAGTTTTATTTTGTGCCAGTCTAATTTCAGAGGGGAATATTAGATTATGTCGAAAAAAGACTAGGCTAATACTAGGGCTCATCTTTCTAAACAAATAGACAGGTATTTGCAATTTGCTTTTTAGGCTATTCTGGGCTCTTAAAAGTCTATTCCTGCATCGAAACCCTCTGCTTTATCATCTCAAGACATACAGCGACGATTCTCATGCATATTTACATCAAAACAGCCATGGTGCACAATTACTCTTGGGCAAAATAATAATTCACTAGTTCTATTCATTACTACAAGGGTAAGTAACTGTCTCTTATGTTGTTGTTATGTGCCGTCAAGTCATTTGCGACTCATAGCGACCCTATGTACAACAGCCCTAAACCCTGCTCTATCCTGTGCCAATCACATGGCCTCTGACACACCCATCCCGATTATCCCAGTCACTGAATCAATCCATCTCATAGAGGGTCTTCCCCTCCTGCGCTGTCCCTCTACTCTACCCAGCATGATGACCCTCTCCAACTGTCTCTTATACCATGTGAATATAAAAACATACACACACACACACACACACACACACACACGGTAATATAACACGTCAGAGCATAAGAATGGATTACTCTTCTAAATAGTTTCCTCCTGTGTCATCTCAATTGCCCAGTATGCATCCAAACGCTAGTGTTAAGTATAGAAGTGAAATTTTGAAGTTGCAGACATATGCCCTATCAGTCAGTCCGTCAGTCAATCCTCACTGCTGAGCTGGAACTACTGCATAGCTAATCCTCCAGTAGGTTTTCAGAGGCTGTAAGCTGCCTGGCAGGAGATTGCCCACCTTTTCCCCCAGGTCCACCTGGTGGGCTAGAACCGCTAGAGAGACACGGTCTTTGGCAGCATCCTAACTCCTTATGGACCACACCACCATAAACGATCTCCCTTAAAGGTCCTATATGAGTCAGTGCTAGGAAAGAGAATTTGAGTTTTAAAATTCTTTTTCCTATGGGCTATCTCCTCCCATGTGATTTACTTCCTCTGGAAACCCACTGGAGGGTCAGCTACGAGTTAGTTCTCACTCAACAGCATGCAAAACCAATTAATTATGTCATTACTTACTTAAGGCTGTCACTCAAGTATAATAAAATATCACTGGAAAAAATAAATTTTCAATCTGTGTACATTCTGGTGTTGTGTGTGTTACTCTATTGAGATATAATGAAATACTTATCTAAAATTAACCAGAGATGAATCTTAAATTCTTTAGTTTATTGTAGGCTATCAACCAGATTAAGTACCAGGCCACCTGGTAATTACTTCTAATAATACTTACCATTTGTACAGTGCTTTGCCCTTTACAAAGTGCTATATAAATGCTATCGTATTTGTAAAAGCTCAATAGTAATTAACTAAAGCTCCGGTCCTTGATGGAGAGCTTGCCTGGGAAGGCAGAACGAGCTGTCCACTAGATGGCAGCAAAAGGTAAATGATGGCACCACAGAGAGCCCAGCCCAGGTGCTTGGCCCTCCCAGCAGGGACATCCATTAAATCAGGGAAGCGTGGTGAATTCGCTCTGGGTGAATTCTATCACTTGAGGTAGCACGTTCCCAGGTCTATTAACGACCTCCTGGTAGTGTTTCGACTATTTCACTGGAGGAAGGATTGTCCCAGATTCTGCAATCTCATTAGACAAGGGAATACTTGATGCTAGGAGCCAGGCAT